AATACAGCTCAGAAATACATTTGCTAAATTTTATCGAGATCGGTTCAGATTTGGATATAGCTCCCATATATAACTTCGTCCGATTTACCTTTGATTGTGCACCAAACGTCTAATATTTGGCCAAATTTGGCACATACGACCGAATTGAGTCTAGGAGCTAGTATGTTAAATTTGGTGAAGATCGCTATAGCTCCCATATATATTGTTCATCCGATTTGTCATATTTGTTACCCACAGCCGTAATATGCACTCCAACGAGTGCATACCCACGATATTCAGGGAAATATATCAAATACAGCTCAGAAATATCTTTGCCAAATTTTATCGAGATCGGTTCCGATTTGTATATAGCTCCCATATATATTTTTATCCGATTGCAAATTAATTGTGCACCAAATGGGCAATACAAGTCCGAATTTAAAAGATACAAATGCTTTGGCATATTTAGTTCTTTGAACTTTCAATTATAATTATAATCATAACGTGTATGATTGAATTCTCCCATAAAAAATTTTAATTTTTAAGTGGAGCTCAACTAAATTAGCAAAGTGGTGTAGGGTATCATAAAGTCGGCTCCGGCCGACTTAAAGGCTTTCTTTACTGGTTTATAATTCTATTTTTCGGGGGCAGAATAAAAGTTGTAGCCATAAGACATTATGTAGCTTGTGGTGTCCAGAAATATGTTTTGGCACTTTTCTGTTAAGATAATGAAGGGGTTGTACAAATGCATGTTTATTTATATAAATAAATAAACATGCATTTGTATTTATATAAATAAAATAAACATGCATTTGTACAACCCCTTCATTATCTTAACAGAAAAGTGCCAAAACATATTTCTGGACACCACAAGCTACATAATGTCTTATGGCTACAACTTTTATTCTGCCCCCGAAAAATAGAATAGGTTTAAGTAATTTAGCCTATGTTAGTAATAAGATTTAAATTAATAAAACGGCCACAGGCTAAAACTATGCATTTATCTCACATAGACTCAGTGGAAGTTTTTGAGGTTAAAATAAAAACATTTAAAAAATTGCAATAAAATAATATTTCAATTAGATTTAATTAAAAATTTAATTATGTGGTGCTTCAGCTGCAACTCTGTTGCAATCAAACAATCTATAATTTTATATTAATTGATGAAAATTGTGGAAAATTCGCGAAAAAAACAGTTTTTAATAACAATGGCAAAAATATTGTTCAAATTATTATTATTATTGCACAAAGAAAGTATAGACTTCCCACCACTTCTGGATATTAATCATCGTCGTCATAATCATCATCACAATGATTATTTATTTCTATTATTTTATTTTTTCCAACAAATGCATTGTTAAAATTGGGGTGCGTGCTAACAGTCAATTATAAATTGAAAAAAAAAAATCCAGATAGTAGTAGGTATATACTTATAAAACTACAATAATTAATGCATGCAATTAATAAATTAGTATTTTTATCAACGCTCATTTATCTTTGAATCGAAACACCACAACATCAAATATATATTTTTACAATGGCATTCTCCATTGATGGCAGATGCTGTAATACGCTAAAAATAAACAGAAAATTTAAAGAAAATAAAAATAAAAAAATCAAAACCATTCACTTCGTTTTAAAAAAGTATGTATAATTAACTAATAAAAACAATACATTACAATTTACATATGTTTGTTTGTGTGTAAGTCGGTTGGGAATGGAAGACAAAGTGTTGATGAATTGCATTAGTTTATTACGTTGTTAAATGCAAATTACAAGAAAATATTAAATGTCTTAATTGAAAAAGGTGTTTTTTTTTTTTAACCCACAGATGATAAAGGAGTGTTTTTGTTATAAGACATATTAAAAACCAGTATAGAAAGTTTTAAAGTCGGGCGGGCCGACTTTATGATACCCTACACCACTTTGCTAATTTAGTAGAACTCCGCATAACAATTAAACGTTTTAATGGGAGAATTCAATCATACACGCTATGATTATAATTATAATTTAAAGTTCAAAGGACAAAATATGCCGAAGCATTTGTATCTTTTAAATTCGGACTTGTATTGGCCATTTGGTGCATAATTAATTTGAAATCGGATAAAAATATATATGGGAGCTATATCCAAATCGGAGCCCATCTCGATCAATTTTGGCAAAGATGTTTCTGAGCAGTATTTGATACATTTCCTTGAATATCATTGTTACGGAGTGCATATTACGGCTGTGGGTAACAAATATAACAAATCGGATGAACAGTATATATGGGAGCTATAGCTATATCTGAACCGATTTCGATCAAATTTGGCATACTAGCTTCAAGTGCCAAATTTCATCCCATTTGGACAAATATTAGACTTTTGGTGCACAATCAAAGGTAAATCGGACGAAATTATAAATGGGAGCTACATCCAAATCTGAACCGATCTCGATAAAATTTAGCAAATGTATTTCTGAGCTGTATTTGATATATTTCCCCAAATATTGTTGTTACAGAGTGCATATTACGGCTGCGGAGGACAAAAAAAAAAAAAAAAAAAAAAAACAAATCGGATGAATAATATATATGGGAGCTATAGCTATATCTGAACCGATTTCGATCAAATTTGGCATACTTATTTCCAGGTCCAATCTGATCGTACGTGCAAAACTCCATACTATTCGGACTGATATTACGCGTTTGGTGCACAATAAAAGGCAAATCGGACCAAGATATATATGGGAGCTATATCTAAATTTTGACCGCTTATCTCCAATTTCAATAGGGTTCGTCCTTGGGCCAAACAAATGATTTGTGCAAAATTTCATCTGGATAGGGCAATAAATGCGATCTGTACTTTGTTTACAAAAATACATGGACAGACGGACGGACGGACATGCATAAATCGACTCAGAATGTGATTCTATGCAGATCATCAAGAGGAACTATGGGTCTATCTCGTTTCCTTTTGCCTGTTACAAACAAATGCACGAATACATAATACCCTGACCACCTTGTGGTGTAGGGTATAAAAATCAGCAATGAAGGGCATAAGAGACGTTAAAATATCATAACTCTGTCAATTATGAAAATATATCTAAATACAGGGTGGGATAAAAAAACTGCAACAAAGGCAAACGTCATAATTTTTACATTTTTTTTAATTTTATTGAATGAAAGCAAAAAATGACGAAAATAGCAAATTCAAGAATAAGCTTAGATTTGTTCGAATTGGTTACCTTTGGCACGAATTATGGCCTTCAAACGGCCAATAAAACCGTCACACGTTGCCCAAATGTTGCTCTTCGGTAATTTGGCCCATTCCCGGTGAAGCGCTTGCTTGAGGTGATCGACACTTTGCTATTTTTTTAATGCAAACCTTGCTTTCCAAAATACTCCAGACTCAATGGACCACACTATCACCATGGCCAGCGCTTGAGTTGTGGTGGCCAACCGAAGGCGCACATTTTCAGCTGACCTCTTTGCACCGAATGTTTTCTCATCGGAGAAACCCAAATTCGGCAGTTCACCACTTTCGACCAAGCGAAGCAACTCTTTAGCTCTTTTGAGTCTACTTTCTTTCTGTTGCGGTGTAATTTTTTTCACTTTATGGAATTTCAATGGCTTTACCCCGAGCTCGTTTTGCAATATTTGCCAATTGGAATATTGCGATATGTTCAGCTCACGAGCAATTTTTCGGCCACTGTGACGAGGGCTTCGATCAAGTCGCTTCTTTACTTTTCGAGGTTGCTGTTTTCTTCCGTCCACTTCCTTGACGTCGGGCTACGCTACCAGTATCACGGTAACGACGGTACGAGACACAAAAAATGTATTCACATTTAAATGCTGAATGCTCAAACGATAGCCACTTGTGGTCACGTTCCCACTCGATATGGTATGATTTGTGAATAACTCGAAGTCGTGTTGGTGGTATTTGTTCCGAAAGGACGTCATTTTGAATTTAAGTAAAAAATCTCTGAAAAAAATTCTCTAATGTTTTTTATTTCTCCTCTGGGTATATCCAACGCCGGCTACGCGATCCGAAGTATTTCTAATTTTGATGCCGGTGTGGTTAGCCGGCCTTTGCCCGAGGCTTGCTGTTTTTTCCTCTGGCTACGTTATTTCAATATATGAACTTAATCGGCTCGTCCGAGTTCAAAAGAGAAAGATAATAATAAATATTGTAGCATTTTTTATAGTGTCAACACTATACATTCTCTAGACTCCCAATATGGTGCCTTTTTTGACTTTTGGAGGTTCAAAAAATCAATGATTTTGATACAACTCCGGAACCGCTTTAAATAACTCCATCATCAGTGACCACTTGTTGGATAGGTATTTTCATAAGTTTTCAAATGGTTTTCCATTTCCGGGTCTTGGACCGTGACTTTCGGGTCAAATATCCGAATATCTAGGTCCGTTCCTAAAGAAAAAATACTTTCCTGAAATCACTAAAACACCTACCTCTGGAAGAAATTTAAAAAAAAATCCGATAGTTTTTTCTAAACTAGAGTTAAGTCTAAAATAAATATTTATTTATTGTAAATAAAATTAAATAAATATTATAATGATATTTTATTTATAAATAAAATCAAATAAATATATTATTTTATTTATATGAAATAAATATTAATTTTATTTAAATAAAAAATATTTTTAGTTTTTTGTATTTAAATTGTTTAACATATTAATTAAAAAATTAATGCTTGCTTAATTTGTTATTAATTTATTTATTTGTTTGTTATATTTTATTATTTTTTTGCATTTATCTCTGTAATAGTTTTTTTATCTTTTTTTTGAATAATATTTTTATGTATTTAAAACTATTTTGAAAAGTCGTAACCCAATCTTAGCCAAAAAAGATTTCCCCACAAAGAAGTCTTGGCCATATTTGCATTAAATGTTTTCTGTTTTTTTTTTTACTTCAAAAATTAAAATTCCAACACATTTTTCATACATTTTTTCGATTTATGAGCCACAACTACGGTACGAATATTCATGAAACTGTTTTTGTTTCTGTTGTTTTTTCCTTTTCCAGATACCAATGTTGCAACCAGATCTCAACCAACAACAAGTGAAAATAAGTCTACAACAAGACTTGAATTATTGTCGAAAACGCAAACAGCCACAGCTGAGTGGAGCCGAGCAGAAACAACAACACCATCACCACCACCATCAACAGCAGAAGCATCAGCCCAAACAGCAGCCAGATTTTGAAACCGGCATTTCAGGCAGCGGCGACTTTAGTGGTTGTGGTTTGAAAGACAATTACCATAAATGTGGCCTTAAAATAAACGAGAAAATTCTGCATAATTACAACAATTACGAATTGAGATAAAAACAGCAACTACAACAACAAAAAATTAAAACGGACAGAAAATATTGAAAATAGCAAATGATAAAAGGCGAAGAGTGTGAAAAACTTGCTACGAATCAAAAGGAAAAAGTACAAAATATTTTTTACTTGGAAAGCGAAAAAAAAAGAAAATTCGATCAGACTGACTGACTGACAGATCGACAGACAGAAAACCAGGCCCATGAGTGTTAAATTGAAAATTTTCAAAGCCCAAATTTTAAAGAGAAACTCAAGTTAATCGAAATAAAAAAAAAAACAGAAGAAAAACGAAAAACTGAAACAATCAAACTGCTACACCACGGTGCTTATCATGGTGCATTTGCTGATGATGTCTAGAGAGCCGTTAAGCCAAGAAACCGCCAAACCAAGCCAACATCAAAAACAGCAACAACACCAACAACATCAACTTCAAAAATTGCAACCACAAACGGAAAAACACAAAGAGCCTTCTTGTTGTTGTAAATGTGGAAATCAAGCGAATAGTAGAAGACGGAGAAGTCGTGCTGGTGTAGGTGGTGATGCATTGGGAGGAGTAGGCCCCAATAGTTGGAGTAGCGGTGCTGCATCATCGTCATCCCCACTCCCAACCACATCCACTTCATCATGGTGTTATCGTCAGGCTAGTGGCTTGCTCGGTGGCATTTGTTGGTGGTTGGTGTTGGTGGTATTTATGCTGATACTGTGTGGCAATTCAGCGGTTTCACAGCAGCTACAACAACAACAACCAACTTCTTATAATCTCAACAACAATGGCAATCAAAACAATAGTTCCACCGACAGCAGCAACAACAACAGTGCCAACATATCATGGCAAATTGCCACACCAAATAATGACAATGCAGCAGTGGTGCAGCCACAGCCGCTGACTTTAGAAGGAGGCGAGGGAAAACAACAGCCACCACCCGATGTTGTCTTGCCCTCAAGACAGGCAAGATTTTTTAAATTCACCACCACCACCACCACCGCCTCACCGGCATTAAATGGCAAGTCGCTTAACGTGACAACAATTGCAAATGGCGAAAGTGGTGGTAAAAATCGCAGCACTACTTCAAAATCTGTTACCGAGTCGTCGGATCTTAAAGATGACAGTAACAAAAACAACAACAACGATGACGACGAAGATTTGGATACCAATGACGATGATGATGATGATTTAGACAATTCATCTGAATTATTAAATGAATCAGAAGGTGAGTGTTTGTTTGTTTATTTATTTTTTTTTTTTTTTGTTGAAAACAATTTCTAAACATCTGTTCGTCTATTTTTTTTGTGGAGAAAATAATCTCCAAAAAAATTTGGATTTTTTGACAATAATTAAATGTATGCCTGTTATTTTTAAAATATGACATCTCCTGGGGAATGAGCGATTATTATTGGTATTAATAAATATTACATCATGTTGTTATTGTTGGGAATTTTTAAGTATCACATATTAGGGTAAAATTAATTTTACATTTTGAAAACAAAAATTGAAATGCTTTGAAATAAAGAATTAGAAGAAAAGAGGTTACAATAATAGCTGTATATTAAATATTTTTATACCCTACATCACATAGTGGTTAGGGTATTACATCTTTGCGCATTTGTTTGTTACATAGAGAAGGAAACGAGTTACTTTTGAGAATCTGCTAGAATCACTTTCTGAGTCGATTTATGCATGTCAGTCCGTCCGTGCATCCGCTTGTCCATGTATTTTAGTGAATAAGATACAGGTCGCATTTATTATTCGATTGAGATGAAAATTTTCCAAACAACACTTGTTTGGTCCAAGGACGAGAGAATCGATTCAAATTTAAATGTAGCTCCCATATATATTTTCAACCGATTACGGATTAATTGTGGACCATATGACCAATATCTACCGAATTTAGTCTAGAAGAAAGCACATCAAATGTGAAGAAAATCAGTTCAGGTATATCTATAGCTCCCATATATACAGGATGAGATGAAAAAACTGCAACCAACTTCAGACTGCTGTCATTTCTAAGCCACTCGTTCGACAGCTGTTAAAATTATTCCAGTGATAGCTCATTGTATTGTTTACAAGCGTACGAAAGCATTTTGGTGAGAATTTACCAGAAATAAAGTTATTCGTAATGGAATCCAAGCGTGATAGTGTAATTTCCTTATATTTGGCTGGAAAACCACAAGTGGCTATCGTTAGAGCACTCTAGCATTCAAATGTGAAAAAATCTTTTGTGTCTCGTTCCATCGCTCGTTACCGTGATACTGGTAACAGCGTAGCCCGACGTCAAGGAAGTGTTCGAAAAGTAAAGAAGCGACTTGATCAAAAACCCCGTCTCAGTGGCCGAAAAAAGCTCGTTAACTGAACATATCGCAATATTTCATTCGCCAAATATTGAAAAATTAGCTTATCCCGAGCTCCCATTGAAATTCCAAAAAGTGCAAGAACTTACACCGCAACAGAAGGAAGTGGACGGAAGAGAACAGCAACGTCAGCAGAAATGGTTCGAAAAGTAAGGAAGCGACTTGATCGAAACCCCCATCGCAGTGGCAGAAAATGGCTCGTGAACTGAACATATCGCAATATTCCATTCAGAAAATATTGAAAAATGAGCTCGGTGTAAAGCCATTGAAATTCCAAAAAGTGCAAGAACTTACACCGCAACAGAAAGAAAATAGACTCAAAAGAGCTAAAGGGTTGCCTCGCTTGGCCGAAAGTGGTGAACTGCCGTTTTTTTTCCGATGAGAAAACATTCGCTGTCCAGCAGTTTGTAAACAAACAAAATGTGCACCTTCGGTTGACCACCTGAACTCAAGCGCCGGCCATGGACATGGTGTGGGCGGCCGTAACAGCCGATGGTCGCTCTCCGCTCGTATTAATCGACCGTGGAATCAGAACAAATGCCAAATATTATCGTTAAAAAAAATATTCTGGAGGGCGTATTAATGCCTTGGACATGCAAACATTTTGTCAGCATACCTTGGACATTCCAGCAGGACTCAGCACGCGCCACCCAAGAATGGTTACAAAATGAAGTTCCTCGCTTTATTTCCAGCTCATTTTCCACCAAAATCTGAGGATACCAATCCGTTGGACTATTGTTTCTGGAGTATTTTGGAAAGCAAAGTTGGCATTACAAAAAAAAAAAAAAAAAAAAAAAAAAACATAGTGTCGGTCACATCAAGCAAGCGCTTCGCCGGGAATGGGCCAAAATACCGCAGAGCAACATTCGGGCAGCGTATGACGGTTTCATTGGCCTTTTGAAGGCCATAATTCGTGTCAAAGGTGACAAATTCGAACAAATCTAAACTTATTCTAAAATTTGAGGCTATTTCCGACATTTTTGCTTTCATTCAATAACAGGTCGTATTTATTGTCCCTATTTAGATTCGTTATAATCGGTCAAAATTTAGACATAGCTGCAATATATATTTTCGTCGGAATTACACTTTATTGTGCACCACCTGTCTAATATTTGTTCAAGGGAAATGAACTTCGGTAAATCTGACGGAATTCAGCCTAAAAGCAAGTGTTTTACATTTGATGAAAATCGGATCATACATATCAATAGCTCCCATACATATATTTCAACCGATTTTGTTGGAATTGTTTAAAATTGGCTAAAATCATGAAAAGGTTGAAGAAGTATTGAGATATGTGAAGTTGGCAAACAATCGGGTGCTTATTTTGCACTTTATGAGAGTTTGGGTTATACTGAATGTTGACCCTTTTTTGGAGGAGGTACAGAAAGGAGAGATGTGTCCTATCATCTTCACACCAAACCTTGTGTTAAGAGAAATGTTGGGTTGTGGGAAATTTGAAGACAATTATACATTTTATAACAGTTATGATTATTCAAAATATTAGGACCTATTATTTTCGCTTCTAACACTGATACAAATATTATGATTTACCATGTTTGAACTTAATCAGATGAACCTCTCTCTTTCTAAGGTGTAAATTATTTTCTTCAAAAATACTGCACTTTTGTGGGTTGGGTGGTATCAGAAGGGGTGGAACGAAAATGTCAATCTCCAAACTCAATATATGTTTGACAATTATATTGTGATGTGCCAAGTTTTGCCGAATATCCGATGATATTCTCTACGAAAATTATCGTGAGCAATAACCAGACGGACATCCTGAAACGGCTTTCGCACAAAGAGATAAAGGTCTGGAACAATTATTTCTAAGATGTACATTCGGCCGTATATTGATAGATTTAAAATAACTAATTATTAAATAATTATTTGTTAAGATTACAGCAAAATTGTGCAAATTGTGTTACAATTGTAAAGTGGGAAGCTTTAGCTACATTTCGACGACGACAATTGTTTCAGCTCATTAGCGCTTGGGAAAAAAATATTTTGACTAACGACATCTTAACCTACTATTTTTTGTTTGTTTTTTTTTAAATGATGGAAAAGTGGTGAAATGAATTTACTCTCTAATGTTTCCTTTCAAATATTTTCTCCGGAAATAATGAAAGTTTTTGATGAGACTATTTAAAACTAAAATTCTCACAATAAAAATTATATATTTTTTTTGGAAAATGTATGCTAAATTGGTGGTTGGGTAAAGCGATTAACTTGTTCCCATTTTTAAAGCTAAACACATGGCATGGAAGATAATTTTGACGTTGTAACATTAAGAAAGTGTGTTACATCACAATGAATCGCAACTCACATAATTATTAATTTATCGTTTAATTCCAAAATTTTTGGTGCAAATCGGCAGGAACAACCCCTTTCCCAATTGCCTCCAGCTGCCACCTACTTTTTTTGACACATCAAAATTTTTAATAACATCAAAATAAAATCCCTACAAATTCCATCCATTTGTTTAACGCCGTGAGTGCTCTTCAAAATGGACCTGCTGTTGTTTGAAGTGTTTGTTATACAAATTCAAAATTAAACATTGAATGAGAAAAAAAGAAAATAGCTGCAGGCCAATAACATATCATTAGTTAGCCATTGTTCACACGCCGTTGTTAACCAACCACAGAGAAACTATATAAATTATAAATCTGATTTTGATTTGAAGAGAGTAATCAAATTTGATGTGTTTTAGGTTATAATTTATGGAGAAATAAATTTACAAAATTTATTTATTTTTTAGTTTGTATGAACGAAATTATGTAATTTATAATTTATAATCATTTAATATTGTGCGGTAAAGTGTTAACACATTTGAAGGGGTAGGTTTTAGGCTTTTCTCTGCCAAGTCAATAATAATTAATTATTGTTTAGGATAGTTTATAATCTAAATGTAATATGTCGATGTATTATATTACAAATAAAAATTAAACAAAAAAAATAAAAGAAATTTTTTAAATTAGGCAGCTAATATTTATAAACCAGTAAGGAAAAGTCAAAAATCGGGTAGAGCCGACTATATGATACCCTGAATATTTAGTAGAGCTCTTGTAACAAAAGAATTTATTTGAAGTGGATCATACCACCAATCAACATTTGGCTTTAGAGCAGATATATTATGATATCAGAGGGAACTAATATATGGGAGGCATATACAATTCTGAATCGATTTATCCTAAATTTGAGGGAGACAATTTTAATTGTTTATACCAAATAACATTATTATAGAGTGCTTGATATCATTTCGAGAAGGATTATATTAAAAAAATATACATCGGAGTTCCAAGAAGTGAAATCGGAGATTCGCTCCATTTGGGCTGATATTAGCCATTATTTGCACAATAAACCTGAAATCGGATTAAGGATATTTATGAGCTATATCCAATCTTAGCCAATCTCGATAAAATTTGCAAAGATTTTTTCGAACTGACACCAAATATCTGATTTGACACGATATCAGACACCAAATTTGTTGTCGAATGGATATTATGAATTTGAGGGACTTAAACCCCAAATCGGATGAAACATATATGTGGGACCTATAGCTTTATATGAGCCGATTTTCTCCAAATTTGACGTACCTGCTTCTAGACTGAATTCGGTCGAATGTACCAAAATTCAGGACTTTTGGGAAGATATTGGCCATTCGGAGGGCAATTAACCCGAAATCGGTTGAAGATATATATAGGAGCTATATCCAAATCTGGACCAATCTTGATAGAATTTGGCATAGGTATTTCCGAGCTCTATCAGATATCTGGTAACAAATATCATTGTTGTCGAATGGATATTGCGAATGTGAGGGAATTAAACATTATATCGGATGAAACATATATATAGAAAGCTATAG